ACAATTATTGACCATAACTATTACTTTGGTTAAGATTATTTATCCAAAATAAAAAAAAATCATTTTTAACACTTATTATTGACTAGACCGAATCTGCGGGTATTACACATATGAATCAAATGTAATTCATATGTGAATCGTCCGTGATTCATATGTTAATCACATGTAAATCACATATGTATTTTTGTGAGTGTTTTTGCATCAATCAATTTTTTTTTTAATTTTCTTGTAGATTTGAAAGAAATTGTGGTGAATATTGAAGAGGTGAAAATGATAATTTGAAGAAAAATATGGAAATATTGACACGAAGATATGAGAACGCTTTAAAAATTTTTTAGCATTTTTTTTGTTTTTTATATTTTATTTTGAATCGAAAAAAATACTTATTCTATTGTGCTTATAGATTAATTAATAAAACGAGTTTTCTTATGATTTCCTTACAAATATTATAGTATATGAAATATGCGTATATGCACTTGTAAAATATACATATATGCACATAAAATGTTGATTTTTTTTGTTAAAAAATTATAGTATTTTTGTAAATACTCCAGTTTATTTTATTGATTTATAAATGCTTTTAAAAAAATTGCAGTTTTTTTTTTAAATATTTTTTTCAATTTTTTTTTTAAAAATTCATGTTTTCTATAAAAAAAATTAAAAGATGTGCACTTTTTTAAAAAAAAGTGAAAAATATTATTTTTTAAAAAATCCGAAAATTTGATTTATTATGTAAATTTTTAGACATTTCTATTAATATTTCCAATAACACAAAAAATTAAACATTAAATAAGATTGATAAGATTACGATCATGCTCTTATAGAATTAATTTTGATCTAACGCTCCACCTTTAGTTCTTGGGTTCTCAGGAAACTATGACTTCACAACCGATCTCACCCATGGTCCTTGTCTAACGCATTTGTTTTACGCGGATGATGCCATTTTCATTGGCAAATGGGATAGAAGAAGCATCAAGAATTTAGCTCGTATTCTTAATATATATATATATATATATATATATATATATATATATATATATATATATATATATATAAGGATGAGCAAAAACCTTACCGCAACTAAAATTAACCGCAAAAAGCGCAACCTACAAACCTCAACCGCAATAAAAATCGATGGTGATGTTTTATGTTTTTCAAAAACCGCAAATTTGTGGTACGGTGCGGTTTTTAGTTTTTCAAAAAAGGCAAAAAATCCGCACCGCACCGCATATATTATATATAATTTTTTTATTAATTATTAATATATTAAATATTAAAAATAAGATAGGTATTATGAATGAAAGAAGGATAACATTCTAGAAGACAAAAATATTGGTTTTTTGTTATCTTTAACTTTGGAAAAATGTGAAATTTCACAATTTTAAGATATTTATTGTTTGTGATTTATGTTAATTGTCTTATACATTATTCTTTTTTTTTTATTACAAGTAATATGTTTGAATTTTTAAAATCGTTTGAACTCTAAACTGAGGTTAAAAACCACACAAAATAACCGTACCACCGCACCGTAAAAATAACCGCACCATCGCTCTGCAAAAAATAACCGTCAAACCGCACCGTAAAAATAACCGCACCAAGCGGTTTTGAAAATGGATTAACCGCATTTGCGGTTAGTGGTGAGGTTTTGGCCAATAACCGCACCAAACTGCACCGCGTTCATATATATATATATATATATATATATATATATATATATATATATATATGGAGTGGTTCAAATGTGAACCCAAAAAAGTTAAAGAACCTAAGAACCACTATTTTAAATATTTTCATTAAGAGCATTTTAGACAAATCCAACATTTATATTGTATTAAGCAAACTTTTTCATTCCATAGTTTACAAACTACTTGACATTTGTCGACAAACCACCGTCGGACCATCTTAGGACCACCACCAGATCGTGGCTGGACCGCCGCCATATTAACATTAAATTCAGTAGCAGTTTTGTATCCATATTCACAGCTTAATCAAACTAACGTTGTAGCTCCCATTTCTTTGGTAATACTTTTTAGTTTCCAGCTAAAATATACAAAATTTTAGCAAATATGTTTTGAAAAAAATCAATTTTCTTCTTTCTAAATTGTAGATTTATTAGAAAATATATCGTGTATAAGAAATATTTACAGTTTAATAAACATAATAATTCACTAATACATGGTTTAATATTTTCATGCATACCTTCATACATAGTTTAGCACAAAATTTATAGACAATATACAACTTAATATTGTGCATTTTTAGTTTAATTCATAAAATTCACAGCATGACATAATACAATCCATTATATACTAATTCATATATTTAAAGAAGTCAAACTCAAATTCGTCCGCCACCACGACCAACTATCATAGATCACCACCAACCACCCGTGCCATTATTGTAGTCATTATTTCTTCCAAATAAAATATGTATATAAAATCATTGATTGATAGTTAATTACTATATTCACAGTTTAATAAACCAATTAATCCACCTTTTCAAAGTTTAATGCAAAATAATTATAAAAACAAATACATTTTTACATATTTATACAACAAAAAAAATAAATATATTCACTAGAAATTAGTACAAACATTCATACATAAATCATTCATAATTTAACATAAAATTCATTAAAAATTCACAGTCAATTCACAGTTTAAATAGAAAATTCGTAGTTTAGTACAGTCATTTCACAATTTATAACACAAAAATCACAGTTAAATATACATAATTCACATCTTAATAACGTCAGTTCACAGTTTAAACAGAAAATCTACAACTTAATTCAGTCAATTCACAGTTTAAAACCCAAAAATCACAGCTTAATACACAAAATTTATAGCTTAATATAAAAAATCCGCAGTTTAATACACAAACTACGCATTTACAATCATATTATCAACTTAAAACTCTTAATACAATTAATTTACAATTTAGTACACAAAATTCACGAAAATGCAATAAATTCACAATTTGATACACACAATATATATTCATAGCCATATTCTCAAAGTAAAACTTACATTTATATATATTCATGTATGGAGGCATTTCTATGTATTAAATTGTGAATTTGATATATTAAGCCGTCAATAAAATTCACAGCTTAATATAGAAAAATTCACAGTTTAGTACAATACATTCATAGTTTAATACAATATATTCAAAGCTCATTTACAAGTATAATCTCATATATCATTCACAATTTAATACATACATAAATTATGTGCATATAATATTTTGCACTAAAAGTTAACTTTAATATTATTTTAATCAAATATGAAACTAAATGTACATTATTTTGTTCACACTTTACAATAGGAATTGTATAAAAATATGTCTTTGAAAATTTAATAAAAAAAGCATAATATTTGTAATTGATATTATTTGTTTTAAAAATTCATAATATATTTAAATATGAGAAATCTTAGAATTTATATTTATATTTATAAATGTGAATAACATGACTATTTTTATTTTATTTTTTGTAAGTCAATATAAAGTTAAAAAGATTAGTATAATACTAAGTCGTCAAAGTATAATATAAAAAATTATTTTATTTATTATATTATATAAATTTGAAATAATAGAAAGAATGAAAAAGAGGTCAAAGTATAATATAAAAAATTATTTTATTTATTATATTATATAAATTTGAAATAATAGAAAGAATGAAAAAGAGATCAAGAGATGGTATGATTACTTGATTACACCATGAGCCATAATTATGTCTAACTTTTAATTTAAACAATATTCACAGTTTAAAGTTTATATATATTATTCAAAATTAGATAAAAACATATATGTGTATAATTTTTCTTTTATCTCATATTAAATTCATAAAAAAAATTACAACTTAATATAATTAATTTATAGCTTAGTACAATCAATTGACAGTTTAATACACAAAATTCACAACTTAATATAATAAATTCATAGTTTAATATGCTAAATTCACAGCTTAATACAACCAATTAACAGCTTAATACAGTCAATTCATAGCTTAGTACAATCAATTCATAATTTAATACCTTCGGATCCATATGATAGTGTTTTTTTTTTCAAAGTTTAATTTATACAATATTTACCGTTTAAATTTTACATACTTTAATCACAGTTGCAGAAAAGCGGATTTGTGTATAATCCTTCTTTCATCTCATATTTACAAAACAAACACAAAATTCAAAAAAAAAAATCACAATTTAATACAATCAATTCACAGCTTAACACAATCAATTTACAGTTTAATAGACAAAATTCACAACCTAATACCGTAAATTCATAATTTAATATATAAAATTATACAGTGACATTAATATTATCCACTTAAAACTTACATTTCATGACTTTCATTCGCAGTTGAATAAAACAATTTAGGACTCTTATTCACTGTCCGAAATTATCATTCACAGTTTAATACAACTTAAAAACTTATAAATCTTGTTGAAATGTTTAATAAAAAAATTTGTGTCAAATTTTTAGACTAAATAGTATTCCGTCTTTAAGTTCCATATATTTAATCACATTAAAAATTCATTTAGTATATATTTATGTGAATTGATAACGTTAGTATAATTATCAATAAGCATTTCAACTAGATACGTAGATTTATTAAATTAAATATAAAGAGTGCAAAAAATATACCAGATATGCTTTTGTCCTTTAGATCTCCATAACAGCATCTCGATCCAAGCATTGGATAAAAAATGATATCCTTGCTCACAAATACAAACTTAGATAATCACATGCATCTCCAAATACTCGATAATCTCTATAATATCACCTCAGTCGAAATCTCATTTCTTGCAAATCCCTCTCTATCTCTTTTCTTCTTTTTTTTAACGTGATCGTTGAAATCTATATGAAATACCCATCAGAACAGATCTATGTGGAAACTTATGACCAAACAACACACCTATTCGTGTTAAACACGCCGATAATCAAGCCTAAGCCGTTGTCAGAAAATGATATCGGAAAACTCTTAGAGATCTCAATCTCTAATAGCTAATAGATGAGACGGCGGAGATGAAGAAGGTAGCAGGATATGGTCGGAGACGAAACAGACCCGTTGGAACCGGAAACAGATATGGAAGCACCGAAAGCAGATCTGGAGGAATTGGAAGCAAGTCTAGAGGTAGGCGGTGGATCTTCGCCGGAAAAAGGTGGTCGCCAGTGGCAAAAAAGGAGAAAACGATGTATTTTTGGTTGTTTTGGAGATATCGGAGGTCAGAGGTTGAAGACAAACACAAATCGGAGATCAGATGTAGAAGACAAACACAAATCAGAACGTGTAGAAGGTAGACGTCGGCGGTGATAGTTGCGCTCGATGGTGTTGGTGTTTGACAGCGTTTGTGACATCTGTTCACCAGAGAAGCAACGAAGGAGAGGTGACATCGGTGGTTACAATCTCCGGAGATCATGTGGTTGTCGGTGGCGACGACGGCGTCGATCGGCATCACTGGATGTAGAAGTCAAAGGCGGAGATTTTTATGTTAATGAAGAGAAGAAAGATCTGATCTAGATATGATGTTGAGATATATGAATTGTTTATAAGAAAGTGACTTTTAGTAAAGCTATTGTTGGGACGGACGAAAATACTTTTATAAAAATGGTTCTAAATGGTTCTTAATTTTTATGGGTTCTCATATATATATATATATATATAAAAGACGATAATGACCTCACCCTGGATGTGGAATTGTAAAAATATGAAATAAGAAATTTATAATGACAGTGTTAAACTTACTTTGATACGGTAAGACCCTGAAAGCTCTTGTTGGAGATTTATATTCTCTTGTAGAGAAGCAGTTAACTTTTTTTAAGTCATCTATCTCCTGTTATGACCTGGTAGCTTTTTCTTCAAACCAAATGCATAGTTGAATTCCTCTCCTACATTCACTTACCACACAGCACCTCCAACATTTTGTGTTTTTATTTCACGTTCCAACACTAAAATTTCAAATCAAAACTTAAGTCACATGCTGAAGCATAAATCATATATATTTAGAATTAATATTTAAAAACATATGTTCATTCATGTATTCAACAAAATAAGAGCTCCATTGGTTATCCAAGAAAAGAAGGTGAATATGAAAATCGGTAAAAAAGTATAATCAAACAAATTGAAGGATGAGCTTCCATGATTGTGTCATTTATAAGTAATGAACTGCACTTTATTTTATTATCGATAATAGGGACATATTTAAATTTTATTTATCCATAACTTGTTGAAGCTAGAATCAATGGAGTAAGCTATAAGAACAACATGTCTGTTAATGATCATCATACACTGTGATGTCTGTTGGCTCATCAAAGCATCATAGCAAACATCCAGTTGAAGTCTACTATAAAAAAATATATATTTTCAAGTTTTTCTCACAAAGTTTTCTCTTACAATTTTGTCCTTATTTAATGTTCTTGTAACGGTTTTGATCCTTGTTCGAAGTAAAAGAAATCATTTTGGTCAAATAGAATAGAATTTTTTTATAATTTTGATCCCACATTTAAGTGATAGTTTAGTGTTCTTTTACTATTTTCTATTATGTTGTTTGTTTGTGATCGCAATTGTAGTTCATAAGTCAATAGCAATGAGAATCTATAAATGATAAATTTTTTTATACCAAAGTCCTAGCCTCGTTACTTGTTTTTCAACGCTAATCTTATCAAGTGAAGTATAAATTTTTACAGGCTTAGGTATAATGACTTGATATGAAAAAAAGTGAAGTATATGCTATAATTGGCTATAATTTAAAATAATGAAAAAGATTGAGAATGCAATGATATAATGGAAAGATATGAAAGCAAGTGGTTATTCCTTGCCATTAAAACATTGTACCTTGTAAACGGAAGATTGAAAGTAAATGTGTTATTGTAATGGAAAGAAATGAAAGTAAGTTGCTATTTGAATGATGTAAATTGCTATTTCTTGCGATTAGCCGTTTATTATTACCTCGTCTTTACTAAACCCATCTTGCTCATTTCCAGTTGGTGTTCATTAATAGCATTGGTGTGGGACCACGGTTGGTTTGAACTCATTCCCAGTGGAATTAGTTTGCTGCCCCATGAACACTAAATGGAATTTACATACATAAAAAATAAAACAAAATAAAAAATTATGGAATTTACTATTTTTTTATTGAAATCTAATTTGTTCCTAATCCAATTAAGTTCCACGCTAATTTGTTCATGATAAATTGAAATTTCAAATAAATAATCTCCAACAATGATTCTTCTTAGTAGTAATTTGGAGAAGAAGTGTCAAGAATTTTCAAAATTTACAATTAATAAAAGGAAGAGACTGATAGACTTCAACAAAGTAACAAAATAGATGAAATTTTTTAAACAAAAAAACTAAAAACAAGAGGAAAAAAGATATACCTTTCATGACGTAAATCTTAGCCTTGATGAGCTTTGCTATCAAACAGTTAAAACAAAATGAAGGAGATTTGTTAAAGGATTCTAGCTGACCATTTATCAATCAAAAAATCCAAAAAATAAAAACCATATTACCTAATCACAAATCGGAAACCTTTAAACAAATTCCTTGTAACATCAACATGTAAGTTTTCTTCAATTAGTTTAGAAAACCCTTCAATCTCTTCTACTTTTAAAAAATAAACTCACCTTCAATTAATAAATATATGTTGGAGAAAAAAAGCGGGATGCGGAATCAACCTCACCTTCAAATTTCAATCCAAACTGTTAGGGTTGCCAATCCAAAAGAAGACCGTTAAACATTACCCACCGAAAGAATGAAGGATGTGAGACTTAATTAGTGTTCTAGTAGCTTTACATGTCCAATCTTTCACTATAAAGATGATGCGTAATACCCATATAATTGATTGTCACCAACAACCCCTGAGAAGGGTAGACTCTGCTGCAAAACCTATAAAATAAAAACTCAATCTTTGAATGAAAACCCATAATGTGTGCTGCAATCAACAAATTAGAAAGAAATCAACAGAGAAGGGTAGAAAGTGTTGAGCTGGGGGAAAGGTTTAAACCCAACACCTTTCCATGTGGATATATCTCAACTCAAGAGTTGAAATTAGATTCATTGTCATCAGGTAGAGGTCTTAACATACTTGTTAGAATATCCTGTTTACTCATGATTAAGTTCTGCCTAGTGATGATTGATGAATACTTTGAAAACATGATTGCTAACATGATTTGTACATCTTACAACAACAATTTCATCATGTAAAACGTATTCAAAATGGTGTAGAGAATAGATGAACTAATATCATTAGATTAAAAAAAAAACTTTCAAAAGAGAGAGCTCATAATAGGAAGAAATGAAATTAGGGTTCAAGCCCTATACCTCGATTCCAGATTAACATTCATTTAGACAAACAAAAAATAATAGAGTTTCAAATTTACCTTTTTAGCAACATACGAGGCAGTATCCCTCCTTTTGATTTCAACCCATGAAGAAAGAACAGATCCTTGAGGAGTAAGGAAACGATTAAATTGAAGCTCATCTGCAGACAAAACGAAAAACTAATCAAAATAAATGAAGATGTTTGGAGCGGTGAGCAATCAAAGGAAGTGGCTATAATTTCAAGAAAAAAGAAAAATACGCATAAACCTTATCAAAATATACCTACCAAGTAATCCTTAAAACTAACAACAAACATGTCAAGTTATAACCTTAAATACAGATTAACCATGAAGTCGGCGTGAAGAGGAAGTCAACAGGGTGAGTCGACCACAATGAGGGGAAGTGACGTTTAATGGGAATCCAAGAGTGGCAAGCAAATTTAGGGGAAACATCGCCGCCAAGAAGAATCTACTACGCAAATGAACCGCACTCCTTTAATATTGAAGTCTCGAGCCTCAGCTTGACGTCAGGATGACTGGAAGCAAGCAGGCAACTATCATACCACATGACGGAGGTGTGCAGAGGTGGAATTGATTTTCCGAAGTGGATGAGCATGGATTTTCAGAAGCTTATGTACAAAACCAAAACAATAATTGCAGTTTTTTTAAAATAAACAGAGAGAAACGAAACCTACCTGTGATTGGGAAAGAGAAATAGCAATTCAAAATTGCAATGGGATTGATAATTAAACCGGTTCCCAATCGACGTTAGGTCGGTATTACCTTATTTTGGGAGAGTCATCTGCAATCAAGGAGAGGTGTCAATTAAAAAGGGTCCAACAGTGGCAATCAGCATCGGGAGAAACAACACCGCCAATAAGGAAAACCCACCACCAAGTCTTCTTCCTCATGGTGATGTCAGGCTGACCGGAAGCAAGCACCAAGGCATCATTCATCAGCAGCCAAACGACGCCGTTTCTTCAATCCCAGTGTGTCGTCATGCTATTTTGGGCGGAAAGGATTTTAAACACACAAAGAGGCAGCTTAGCTCCAGGTGACGGATGCATGAGGGTGGTAGTGGGGACGCTTCTGGACTCCTTAATCTTACAGAAAAGGGTTTCACACACACATATATATATATATATATATATATATATATATATATATATATATATATATATATATATATATATATATATAGATTAAAAATAAAATAAAGATCTTGAGATTCAACCGCATCCACATATTTCACATCTGTCGCACTAACCCTCCGGCATACCGACACGGCACATGTTATAATCATAAATAATTCTATAGCGCCTCCCGTTCGTTTCTCCTCCGCCACCATCCCCACCACCACAACCGCCACCGCCACCACCACTACCTCCACCTCTTACACCATCCGACCCCATTACTGTTACCTCCGTCACTTATACCACCGCCACCTTTGTCATCACCACCTCTTCTACTATTAACTGTCATAATCATATATGAATACTCAATCTGTGAACAGAGATATTTGTATAATCATTTATAATTAGGCATACCCACTGCTACCGGTACGCTGAAGCGTTAGAGCGGCAAATGAAAAATATGTGACTGAGGTTAAATCTCAAGATCTCTAATTTTTTTTAATCTCAAAAAAAATTAGAGATCTTGAGATTTAACCTCAGCCACATATTTTTCATTTGCCGCTCTAACGCTCCAGCGTACCGGTAGCAGTGGAGTATGCCTAATTATAAATGATTATAAAAATGTCTTTGTTCACAGATTGAGTAATCATATATGATTATGACAGTTAATAGTAGAAGAGGTGGTGATGACAAAGGTGGCGGTGGTATAAGTGACGGAGGTAACAATAATGGGGCCGGATGGTGTAAGAGGTGGAGGTAGTGGTGGTGGCGGTGGCGGTTGTGGTGGTGGGGATAGTGGCGGAGGAGAAAGGAACGGGAGGCGCTATATAATCATTTTTGATTATAACATGTTTGCCGCGCCGGTACGCCGGAGGGTTAGTGCGGCAAATGTGAAATATGTGGCTGAGGTTGAATCTCAAGATCTCTATTTTATTTTTAATCTCAACGGAACTTATCTCTCTCTTTCTCTCTCTCTCTCTCTCTCTCTCTCTATATATATATAT